ACTACCGGTATTTTGTGAGTGCTTCCAGAAATTTCTGTGAATATAAGGGGAAGATATGTATACTCTCTTTTCACAGATGAGAATTATATTGTAGATATTAGTATCTAAACTGTTTTGTCTTAATTTGTAATATAATTGGGATATTTTTAATAACAGTATATATAGATTTACCTCATTCTTCCTAGAGGCTTCATGGCATTCGATATAGTAGCTAAATTTACTATAATAAATTTAGCTACTTCCTTATTCAACATTGTAATATCTCTATGTTTCTTTGAGCACTTCTCTAGAGATACATTTATAGAAATGGAATTTCTGATTCAAAATGTATGCATGTTTAAAATTTAGATCCAACAAGAGCACATCAATTTATCCTCCCACAAGTGAGAAATTTTCCTTTAAAAAATTCATATTGTTTAAATTTTAAGGGCAAAAAAAAGAGACATTTAGTTTTTCTCTTACTTTTTCCTTTTAAATAATGAATGATATTGAGCATCCCAGAGAGGTAATTTTATAAATGTTGCTGAGGTCAGGGTTCTTTCCATTGTGCCAGTTCATCCTAAACTGTTTCTATGCTTAGGGTCATCAAGGAAGCCAGACGAGACTGTGGGCTGTGTGGGTTGGAATGAACTTTGGCTTTTCTATCAAGCAAGCTGATTACTGAGGAAACATCAAAAGCTTCACCTGAGTGACTCATCACCCAAATCCAACAGAGGTAATAGAATAACTTACATTGCACAGCTTTATGGGTATTTAGTTGTCTGTGTGAGATCAACAGTGCCCACTTTCTCTGCAGGATTTTTCTTTGGAAAAGAGATTTATTGGTTAGACCTCACCTTACAATGCAGTCAGGGGCTTCGGGTCCTGATTCCCTAGGTTCAGAAGCCTAGAGAAAAATTATTTAACATTATGGCCTCGGGTAACAATATCTACTTCATGGAGTTGGGTCAGGAATCAGATTTTATGGGGATATGCTATTGTCCACTGCTTTAACCATCCTTCATGTCATCGCATTATTTTCTGAGGCTTTACGTTCTATTGGATTGTGAAAAGCTTATGGCCAGAGAGAAACCACAGTGGATGTTTTAAGAGGCATGTGAAAAAATGTGACTGGTCATGCATGTGGATTATTAGATGTTAAATGTATAGTATAACTTTTTAGATGTAGTGTTACCTGGATTAGGCTTATGTGCTATAATTATGATTTTAAAGTGGATTAGCATTTTTTCATGAAGCCTAGATAGTATGACTTGTTTATATTCTCTAAACATTTCTTGTTTTACTCTTCCATCAGATTCCCCACTTAAAATTTACTACATGGTGTCTACAGTCAAGGAGCAAAGGCTTTATACTGCTGCAGCCTTTTATTTTTATTTTTATTTTAAAAATATGTTTTTATTGATTTAAGAGAGGAAGGGAAAGGGAGGGAAAGATAGAAACATCAATGATGAGAGAGAATCACTGATTGGCTTCCTGCTGCATGCCCCATCCTTGCGTTCGATCCTGTAACCCGGGCATGTGCCCTGACCAGGAATCACAGTGAGACCCCCTGGTTCATAGGTTGATGTTCAACCACTGAGCCATGCCGGCCAGGAGATGTAAGGGAATCCACATTTCCCCTTCTTTCGCCCTGAGACTGCCAGTGCTTTATAGTCCCCCACACACTTTGCTTCTCTCAAAGACATTTTGATGTTTATAATATCTTTTTAAAAAGTCAGATAATTTTCAGATAATAAAATTCTGATACCCTGCAGACTTTAAAAGAAATACAATATATGAAAGCAACTTCTATACAGAGGCATTTGCCATGTCTATCTAAAAATTACAGCTATACATTTGCTAGTTATATTGTTACTAGAGACCCGGTGCATGAAATTTGTGTACTCAGGGAGGGGAGCGGTCCCTCAGCCCAGCCTGCGCCCTTTCACAGTCTGAGAGCCCTCAGGGGATATCTGACTGACAGCTTAGGCCCACTATCTGTGGGGAGCGGGTCTAAGCCATCAGTAGGACATCCTTAGCGCTGCCGCAGAGGTGGGTGAAGCTCCCGCCATGCCGCTGTGCTCACCAGCCATGAACCCAGCTTTTGGCACACTGACCACCAGGGGGCAGCTCCTGCATTGAGCATCTATCCCCGGTGGTCAGTGTGCATCATAGTGACCGGTCATTCCGCCCTTCAGTCAATTTGCATATTAGCCTTTTATAATATAGGATAGAATTGCTAATATTACCTACTTTTCAAAAGCATTAAAATAAACTTGGTTGAAAGTAATGTTATTTACTAAAAAAAGGGCAGGAAAAGTCATATATCTTTACACATTGGTTTAAAATGGAAGTATGTTTTATGGGAAATAGGATGTTTTAAAGATTAATCTTAACAGGGAAGTCTTTTCTTGTATAAGTATCTTGTAACTTCACACCATGCACTATTGGAGTTTTCCCTAATAATTTGTGTTTTTGAGAACTATAGGGCTAGACAAAATGTACTGATGTGAAGATTTCTTAGCTTTAATTGTGAGGGTACACAGACCAAAAAATAAATAAAAATCACATGCCCATAGTATTCTTTCTAGTGCATCTAGTCTGATCAAATAGAATTACCTATTTCAAAAGTTACTGTGAAAGAATAAATTCTAAAAAAGAATAAATTGCATGTAATTGTGGTAAAGAATAAGCTTTTATTAATCAGTTAGAAAATACCAAAGACATATTTGCTCTCTGTACCTCTGTAATCAATAGTGGATTAGTAATTATATTTTAAATAAAAAAAGAATATTTTAAAAATGTATTAAATTGTTTTTATTGAAGGGCATGAGAGCATTGCATAGTCTTGTAATTTGCCGGGAGCCGGTCCATGCTTGCTGTTTCAAGGGACCTGGCATATATGGCATACTGTTCTTAATATGTTTGCTCACCTTCTTGGCACTATGTGTTTTAACCAAGGTCTCCTCTCTGAGAAAGGTTGTTTCCCCAAGTAGGGATTTCCCCCTGAAGTTAGGGAGGGAATAAAACCTCTTAACTAAGTGCCAGGCGGGTAATTAATCACTTTAACTATGAACAATCGTGCTTAAGCTACATAATCTTTACTCCCTGGAATGAAGATAAGAAACGCCCTAACCTTTGTAATAGAAATTGATAGGATTGAATCAACTGGTATAAATACAGATGCAACAAGACAGCAAGACACAGAACTTAGAATACAGAGCTTAGAACACAGAACCTACAGACAGAAGAACTTCGCTGGAGAGAACATGGCAAAAGATCCTGGACTGAACCTGACTACAGAAATTGGCAAGCGAACCTGACTAGAACCTGGTGACTGAACCTGGCTGGAGAACCTGGACAGAACCTGGCTGGAGAACCTAGCAAGAGAACATGGACACAGAACCTGACTGGAGATCCAGACCAGAACTTGGCTGGAGATCCAGACCAGAACTTGGCTGGAGATCCAGACCAGAACTTGGCTGGAGATCCTGGCTGGAGATCCTGGATGGGCTGCTGATCAGCTGAACGCTGTCTCCGTGTCATTCCTTCTTCGCTGACTCCGTCCACACCTTTGGGGACCCCTGGACCCGCTGGGGTTGGACCCCAGCAGTAATTCTTGCTGGAGAGAGACTCTGTCACTGGCTGGAACTATTTTTTTTAGTATTCATGTATTCAGTCAGCATTTACTGAAGCTGTGCTCTTATGCACTCTGCTAGATACAGAGCTTGGGGTAGGCCCTGTTAGAAGTGAAAAGGTCAGGAAAGCCTTAGGATTTTACAAGCTTGAGGATGGGAGAACATAGAGAGGCAACCCTGTAAATATGAAAAGATAATACACCAAAGAATGAGAAGTAGTCAACAAAGGGAAAATGATAATAGTAAGTGATAATATTAGTATTACCTTCACTAATGCCCATTATTGGCTAAGGACTTAATTGCCCACAGTGGGTGTTAGGTCATCTCCTCTACATCTATTCCCCTCTCTTTGCCCATCTCATACTTACTATACAATTTATGGGCAGAAAGATAACTTCCAGGGTTTGTAAAAATCAAGAAAAAAATATCCTATGTCTTGGATAATAACAGTGGGGATCTGTCAGGTTTTACTCAGGAGTTGCTTCCAACTCCTCAACAAGCACTGTCAGCCTCATAGCTCTACTAGGGTAGGGCCAGCTGTGAAAAACAGCAGTTTAACTCCAGGAGAGGAATCTCTTGATTAGGAGGAATGGTCAGAAAAGTACTGGGAGAAAGAGAACCATCTATTGTTAAAAGAGTGAAGATCAAGACCATAGCATGCCTGAGGTGATGATCCTGGTTGGGTCTAGTAATAAACTGGCAGGCTAGCTAGAAATTTGGGAGGAAGAGAGAATGAGACATACATAGAGGCCCTTGATAAGCAATTACGTATCCTTGGGAGTCTGAGAGGCTATGCGTAAGTACAAGGTCAGATGAAAATGCAAGTCACACAGCCCTAGCTGAATGCGAGGCCATGCAAATATGCAGAGGTCAAACAAGAGAGCAGAACAGCAAGTAAAAGTCCGAGAAAACTTGTAAATTGATGAAACTTTAAAAGCAGTCCCTATACCACACATAGATCCATTGATAATAGGTGGAAATATTACCAACTTGAGATGTTTGAACATGAAGGAAATCAAGTTATGTCACCCTAAAATATGTTACTTTAGCCCAAGGATTATTTTGGGCTGAAAGCATTTGAGAATCATATATTAGAAAAGCTCCATGCCTCCTTCCTATTTGCCTAAAAGCAGGACACACATTTCAAAGGTGCCCATCCTCCCCTCTCTACCAGGAAGGACAAAAGTTAATCACTGGAGACAACTTTAGACCCTATTAGCAAGGTAGCTTTTATCTACCATTAGTTTCCCATATACTTACCTTCTCATAGTTTGCTGCTCTCAGAAGCCTAAAATTGCTTTCCTTTGTCCTGTCATTTCTTTACAAGTTATTATTTTTTGTTGAAGATGGTATATAGACCTTGATTCTAAACCACTCTTTTGAGTGCTTGCTTTGGCAGCACATATACTAAAATTGGAATGATATAGAGAAGATTAGCATGGCCCCTGCACAAGGATGACTTGCAAATTCATGAAGCATTTCATATTAAAAAATAAGATAAGAGACCACCTCTTTGAGTTACTCTTCCTAGGTTACTCATATATACACATTTTAATAAACTTCTGTTTGTCTTTTTCTTGTTAATCTGTTTTTTTTTTTGCTTTTTTGTTTTTTAAATTATGGAACCCCAGCCAAAAACCTAAGAGGAATAGAAAAAAAATTTTTCCCCCCCACTACAAACACAACCTCTGACCAATCATTGGCCAGATACCAAGTCATGCTGATTCAATGGTGACCCATGGGAAGCCAGATTTTAACAAAAAACAATTTTAAAAAATACTGAATAGAAACATCAATGTCTACACATCAAGGAAGAGATAGACTGCATAGAATTAGGTCAGGCAGCTTACTAAACAAAATGGCAGCAACAAAAACTCCAGGAGGGGAAAAAAATCAGAATCCAGAATAGCTACAATATATCAAAAATGTCCAGTTTTCAATCATAAAACTAATGGGATGAAAATAAATAGGAATGTTTGCTTCTTAAAGGGAAAAGAAAGAAACAGGCAATTGGAACTATTTCTAAGGGTGCCAAGATACTGGATTTGACAGAGAAAGACTACAAAACAACTGCCATCAATATATTCAAAGTAGTAGAAAAAAAAGTTTCATGAATAAAAGGAAATTATGATGATAATGACATATTAAAAAGAGAATTTCATTATAAATAATTTATTTTAATGGAAATTCTGGAGTTGGAAAGCATAATAACTGACTCAATTACTAACTCTGACTCTAGAAAGAAATGAAATAATATTTTTTTATTAACTCTTCTATAAAATTTATTCCATGAGATTAGTATTAACAAATTAATAAATTACAGGCCAATATCTCTCATAAACATACTAATAATAAATAGAAAGGAAGAAGTAAACAAGAAAGAAGTAAAACTATAAATTTTCTTCATCTATAGAAAATAAAATCTTGTAGAAAATTCTAAGAAATCCATAAAAACACTGCTAGAACAAATAAACAAGACTAGCAAGTTCACAAAATACAAGATTAAATAATAATTCATTGTATATAATGCAATAACAATGAATAATCAGAAAAGGATATTAGGAATTACATTCTAGCCTGGCAGGCATGGCTCAGTGGTTGAGAGTCAACTTTTGAACTAAGAGGTCACTGTTCAATTCCTGGTAAGGGTACATGCCCAGGTTGTGGGTTCGATCCGTAGTGTGGGGCGTGCAGGAGGCAGCTGATCAATGATTCTCTCTCATAATTGATATTTCTATCTCCCCCTTCCTCTGCTGGGGTTGGACCCCAGCAGGTCCAGGGGTCCCCAAAGGTGTGGACGGAGTCGGCGAAGAAGGAAGGACACGGAGACAGCGTTCAGTTGATCAGCAGCCTAGCCAGGATCTCCAGCCAGGATCTCCAGCCAAGTTCTGGTCTGGATCTCCAGAGAGGTTCTGCTTAGGATCTCCAGCTAGGTTCTGTGTCCATGTTCTCTTGCTAGGTTCTCCAGGTTCTCCAGCCAGGTTCTGTAGCCATGTTCCCTCGCTAGGTTCTCCAGCCAGGTTCTGTCCAGGTTCTCCAGCCAGGTTCAGTCACCAGGTTCTAGTCAGGTTCTTTTGTCAATTTCTGTAGTCAGGTTCAGTCCAGGATCTTTTGCCATGTTCTCTCCAGCAAAGTTCTTCTGTCTGTAGGTTCTGTGTGGGTTCTGTCTTCTAAGTTCTGTGTGTAGGTTCTGTCTTCTCTTGTCTTGTTACATCTGTATTTATACCAGTTGACTCCAATCCTATCAATCTCTATTCCAAAGGTTAGGGCGTTTCTTATCTCCATTCCAGGGAGTAAAGATTATGTAGCTTAAGCATGATTGTTCGTAGTTAAAGTGATTAATTACCCGCCTGGCACTTAGTTAAGAGGTTTTATTCCCTCCCTAACTTCAGGGGAAAATCCCTACCTGGGGAAACAACCTTTCTCAGAGACCTTGGTTAAAACACATAGTGCCAAGAAGGTGAGCAAACATATTAAGAACAGTATGCCATATATGCCAGGTCCCTTGAAACAGCAAGGATGGACCGGCTCCCAGCATTCCTCTCTGAAATAAATTTAAAAAGTTTTTTTAAAGTGAAGATTTGACTGATGCCATTCAACATGAAAAGTTTGTATTCCACCCCCTACCTACGTATTTACTCATTTCTATCCGGAGATACCTGGGAGGCAGCTCATTTCCTTTATATTGTTCCCATTTATAGGTCCTAGCCCCTGACTCAGTCATCTGTGTTAATCTAACAACTGGCCCCTAGCCCTGGCCCAGTCATCTGTGTTAATTTAACAAATACTCTAGCTCCCTAATGGAGCCTTCTGCAAGGATGGCTGGGACTGATGCAGAAAAGTAAACAGGAATAAGAATATATGGAGTCCACACAGTCTATTTGCTTGGGTTTCCTATCTATGAAGCCCTTAGTATCACTAACTTCTTCCAAAGGCCTTTTCGCCTAACTTTACCAAACAAAACAAATATAAAGTCTTTCTCTTCACTGAACCATGAGCCCATCTTTTATGCAGCACCCAGGTTTCTCCCTATATGATTAACAACTCTTCTACCCAAGTTTTATTTGATGATCTATTCCCAGGAATCTGTATGATTCTGATCACTTCTAGTCCTTTTTGGAGGCATACATCTACTAATGTTCAGTAATAACTTCATTTGGAGAAGTATTTTATATTTCATACTAGAGGCTCAGTGCACAAAATTTGTGCACTTGGGGAGGGGGGTCCCTCAGCCCGGCTTGCACCCTCTCGCAGTCTGGAAGCCTTCGGGAGATGTCTGATTGATGGCGTAGGCCCACACAGGTAGTCGAACATCCTTAGCGCTGCTGCGGAGGCTGGAGAGGCTCCCGCCACTGCTGCTGCGCTCGCCAGCTGTGAGCCCAGCTTCTGGCTGAGTGGTGCTCCCCTGTGGGAGTGCACTGACCACCAGGGGGCAGCTCCTGCATTGTGTGTCTGCCCCCTGGTGGTCAGTGCTCATCATAGCAACCTGTCGTTCCGCATGTTTGGTCGATTTGCATATTAGCCTTTTCTTATATAGGATATCCTAGAGCTTGTTCTGAAAATCTCTGGCTAGTGGCATATTTGATTCTTAGTCTGGGTACTTTGGACACCTTGGACATAACAGAGAAATTATCAATCCATATTCATGTGATCCCACTTTACTCTGGAATAGGCAGTGGGCTTGTAAGTTTTTCATTGAAACTGATAGATCTTTGTTATGTCCCCAAAAGAATTCCCTCCCAAATTAAAGAAAAAGACCTAACTAACTATATGTTGTAGTTGGTTAATATTCTTTTAGTTTGATTTCACTTTAAACCTGTAAAATAAAAAATATCCTTACCCAAAGCAAGATGAAGCAAAATAGGCAATTAAAGCATGGTCTTAGATTTTATGCACTCATCTTCAAATTTTACACACTTACTGTAAATCTGCTGTGCTAAGAACCCTTTTTTCCTGCTTTAACATTCAGGACGAAGCGATGTACATGTCTATAGACCTATTTGTCAGAAAATAAAAGTAATGAATGAGAGTCAGATTTGAATAAGAGTGGACTAGACATGAGAGAACAGGCCTAGGCAGCTTCAATTCTCCATCTTAAAATTACTTACTATTGTTGGGAATAATAGAACATCAAAAGGATAAATTCAAAACTCAAATTAGTTCCTGTCCTCCCAGGAGAGACCGCCTGCCTGATTCGAATCTGTCTTTCATGTGCTGTTCTCACCCATACTTACAATTTCAAGGGCTAGAATGTCATTCAATATGCAGAGGCCTGTTAGAATTAATGAGAGTTATATTTAGAAATTCTTCTACTGTGAGATAGAATATAACATTAAACTTTTAAGGTCATGACAAGGACCTATTGACAAGGGAGAGTTTCAAAAATATGTAAATTAGCTACTTGGGTAATCACAGGCTGTGCAAATTAAAAGGGACACATTTATTCATTCTTTTCACACTAAGGCTCTGTCAGAATAGAGTTGTGTTATTTTCTGTTACAAACAATCCCAAAATCTCACTGTCATAAAAATAAAGGTCTATTTCTCCCTCATACCACATAACTGCCATTCCCAGTCTTCTCACTCCTGGTGTCTCCATCTCAAATGTTGCTGGTCACTCTGACAATGGGAAAAATTAGTTCTAGAGTGTGTTGCACTAGTGATTAGCTGTTTCTGCCTTAAATGGCTTTCTCATTTCTTTCACAACTTTTTAAAACAGGCCATAAAACCCCACCCAATCATAATAGGCAGGAAAATGCAATCTCTCCAGATACCTCAAGATTACTACCAGAGCCGTAATCCCAATAACAAAAGTCCCTGCTCTTAGAAACTTATTAGTGAAGGGAGTCACACAAATACAAAGTATACAAATAAATAAAGAGGTAATTTCCTGTTGCAGTAAATGATATGGACGAGATAACCAATGATGTGATAAAGAGTAACATGAGGAAAGAGAGAGGAAGAAGGTCCATTTTAGATTATGTGGTTGGTTATAGGATAAAGTAGACAACAGGTACATTTTGTTATCTTTGCCCTTTTAAGTCCACTCTCCTTCCTTTTCCATCTTGTTCTGTGTCTTTAGAAGTTGACCTGGGAAAGGCCAAAAAATATATGCCACCTCCAAACATGACTATAGATGTTCGAGACATGCCATCCCAAAATATGCCACTTTGGTATATTAATGATTTTGAGCTTTAGGTATTTGAAAAACAGCAGATACAGGGAAAGGTGCTCTCTGAACTCCCCTCATCTGCCTAAAGACAGATCATCCAAAAGGAACTCAACTGTCATAAGTCCCCGCCCTGGAGTTTCATCAACCAGGGAAGATTGACTTTTATCACAGAAGAGACTAGAAGTCAACACTACACCCTGACAAACTGTCACAAACCATCATGCTTCCCATCCATTCTTCTAAGGGCCCATTAGTCTTTCCTCAAAAGCATTTACTCTCCCAAGAGGACTATATCCTCCCTTCCCTTTCCCTATCTATA